CCTGCTTACTTCCGGGCTAGGTTTGGATTTGATTTGACCTAAGATTAACCCAGCTCATGTTTACCTATCATGTTGGCTATGTTTAAAATTATAAATCGGGCCTCCTTAACTGCTACCTTCTGGCCTAGGGCTGGGTTTGATTAATGCTATCGGTTTATCAAATCGCCCTTCAATTTACAAATTACAAAGGGGATTAGGGGACTGAAGGCACGCATCCCCACACGACAGGATCTTCAGCTGGTTACACATTACCAAGACTCCTAAAAGCAATGCGACTTCTAACTTGTAAATATAGACCCTGAATCTTAATAATTAGAGATTGGTTGGGAGGGTTTCAGCATTGACTGAACTGTAGTACCCTGTATTTTAGGCCTAGTGCCATTTTGGTTCTTGAATTTTAAAGTGCAACAATTCAGTATATGAATTTTTAAAGTGTACCAATTCCATACATGTCGTTAACCAGTTATTAGGTGGCATTTGAAAAGATATAAAAAATAAACAGTGTCGATTTTTAAAATGTGCCAATTCAATAAAATGCGTTTTATCGACCATTCAAACGTTGATAAAAGATAAACAGTCCCAAATTCTTTCTCCTTCTATTCAACAAAGTTGGGGTTACCAGAATGTCCACTGGGACATGACCTCAACTTTCTTCAATAGAAGAAGTAAGGACTTGGGACTGTTCATTTTTTGTCAACGTTTGGATGGTTGATAAAGAAAATTAGATGACACTCGAAGAGCATTTGTGTCTTTTCAAATGCCACATAATGGTTGGTTAATGGAAGGTACTGGATTGGCATGTTTTGAAAGTTAGGGTACTGAATTGTCATGTTTTAAAGTTTAGGAACCAAAGTGACACTAGGCCCAAAGTACAGGATACTAATCGAGAATTTTTCCAAAAACCATTGAAACTAACTTCAACTAACAGAAAGTAGATTTAGCTCAATAAAGTGCATTTTGGATTTTCGGGTTTTCACCAAATATAAATTTTAGGCTTTTTCGCATGGGGACAACCTTACAAAGAAACTACAACTTGAAAGCCCACCTAAAAGGGCACTAGAGATCTAACCACAGATCCCAGTCATAAGCTAAGCAATGGTCTGGATTTTTTCTTTATTACTATTTTGATAAAATGAACACTTTTCATGTGAGAAGACGAATGATGTCTAATAAGGTCGAAACCGACCACAAGTTAGAAACTGTCAAGTGGCAACATGCTGGGGGGAAAATTTGTCAATTGATGAGATGACCTGGTCTTGACGAGCTACAAGCTAACCTGGTCCTGACGAACTACGAGCTGACTTAGTCTGATGAGCTACAAGCTGACATGGTCCTGGCGAGTCGATCTGACACTAACTCATAACATGTACAAGCAATACATGGCTGAGTTGATTAGAACATCAATGCTAGCACACTCCATGCAGACCAATGCCTACCATGTGCACACAACATGTCAACTGAGGGTGTGTCAAGTGGACTAAGCTTCGACCACATGTGAGAGACATGTTAGTTCATGGATGAAGCCTCTCCCCTATAAATAGGTGAATCTCCTATTCGTTTGGACACAACTGAACATGGTAATATGCTACTATGAACAAGACAGCACGCCCGACACCTTGGCACATGGATCCCTCTAGCTTCCCCTGCGAGCTCTCTAGCTCCCCCTACGAGTTCTTCATCTCATCCATACGAGCTCTTCAGCTTAGCACATGGAGCCCTTTAGCTCCCCCCAAGGTTCAAAATATCGATACAGGGCGATACCCTGATAGGGGGTATCGGCTTGTATTAGTACTATTTTTTTTTTTAATTTTTTTTTGAATTTGGTTCAGAGGGGCTAGTCTACCCCCTGAACCACTAACCGACCCAAAACACCCCCTACAGGGGCATATTGTGAAGGCTTCGATATGATATGTATCAGCCAATATGTACGATATTTTGAACCTTGGCTCCCCTTATGAGTTCTTTAGCTCATCTCATGGAGCTCTCTAGCTCCCCTTACGAGCTCTTCAGCTCATCCATACGAGTTCTTTAGCTCAGCACATGGAGCCCTTCAGTTCCCCCTACGAGTTCTTCAGCTCATCTCATGGAGCTCTCCAGCTCCACTTATGAGTTCTTGAGCTCATCCATACGAGCTCTCTAGCTCTCCTTTCGAATTCACTAGTTCTCCTCACAAGCCCTTTAGCTCTCTATACGAGTTCTTGCCTCATCTCACCCAGGGCCTCTGACATTTCTTATGGTTAGAGGTCTCCCTCAAGAAGAGAGGTGACACCCTACTCCAGCAACTTTACATCCTCACCCTTGTGGTCAATTTTGATCTTCATCGATATCCATGCCTGTAACCGATAAAAGTTTAATACTTGGGGTTCCATTGTCTTTGGAAATATGTACATATTAACAAACAATCAAGGGTCTAAGGGATGTGTGTGTTTGGGGATAAAAGTTTCTTTTTTTTTTACTTTTTCCACTTTGAGAGTGAAAATGCATTTGTTACCAAAAAAAATATTTAAGGTCGGTTTGATTCACAGAAATAAAGGCTGGGAACTGGAATTTCCGATGCCAACTGTTTAATTAAACAGAATCAGAATAATGACATTTCCCATTTGAGGGAATGATCATTTTCTCGCCCTCCCATGAGAATGAAATCCCGTTCCAAATTTCAGCTGATTCCAATTTCTGTCTAAACGAATAAACATTCTGAAAGATTTTGATTGTGATTCCAACTACAAACCAAGCCGGCCCTTAATTATTTGCATATGTTACGATTGTGGGATGCGAGACCAAATAGTCCATGACAACGGTTGAGGAGTTATGGTTCTGACTTAGTATCTTACCATTACCGCGTAAGATTGACTTGTGAGGTCGACGTTGACAAAGAAGAACCTTAACCTTGGAATTTGTTGGTGAACACAAGTCAAGAAGAAAGACGAAAAGGGCAGAGGCGTGTCTGAATCTCAAAAGTGTTCTCACGTCCTAATCCTTAGTGGAAAACCCCCCATTTTTTTTTTGTATACTAAAAAATACAAGCCCTCTCAAATTAAGCCTAAACAAAACACCAGTACTCCTTGTTCAGTGGAATGGTTGTTGGTATATTCATATTTTAGTAATAATAATAAGAAAGGTTAGAGGTAGGGGAGCTTGCATTGCATTGGAACCAATCTGCAGAGAGGAGAGGGGCATGCATGCATCTTTTGAATTTTAGCTTCGTGGTTCCTCCAAGCTTTGATTAGATTAATCTTAAATGCCTACCAGCTTTAATGTTTTTATATATGTAAGGATGATTAAACCAAATTAAAAATTCCATGAGTCAAAGGGAATGACATCCAGCTTTATTTTTTTTTATATATGTAGCTTAATTAAGTGGGCATTTATATAAAAGCAACATCCTAATTAGACCGATTTTTTTTTTATCAGATTTAGCTTTTCATACAACCTAAACAATATATATGATCGATTTGAGTACTTTCGGCTTTCCTAGAAGTAACCAATTCATCAGCAGCTATCACGCGGTTCAGCTACCACATTCGAATCCACTGTCTTCTTTTTGTCATTGCCCTGCTGAGTGTCCACAGTTCACACATGTCCTTACTCTCTATGCACCATGGAATACATACTGTACTAAGTAGATCATATCCATAGACTAATTAATCACTCCACAACTTCATAAAAGATAAATTAAAAAAAAAAAACACTGTGTAAAAAGATAAAGACTTAGGAATGGTTGCAGCAGGAGCCAGGAAGTAACTCACTCACATCCACATTTCACAGCAGAAAATACCATGGATCCTGACAAGGTTAACCATAACCAGCCCATCATGGAAGCGTGTGGGGTCTTTAAAAATCACAAGCCCATGAAATAAAGACTTCTTTCAATGCATGGTCATCTATTCTAATTCGTTTTCTTTTTCGTTTCTTTTCAAAAATTTTGAGCAATTTAATGATGGAATTAATGGGTAAGTGGTACTGTGGTAGCAATAATAAAATGGATTAATAACTCGTGGCCCGACCCGTCCTACCCAACCCACTTCCACCATTAGGTAGGTTTTGACTTGTAAGTTACCCGAGTTTGTGGAGCTTCCAAATTAAATTAGATCGCTTAGAAGCTAAGTATGTCTAGCTAACGATTTCATTGACCAAATCACTCAAAACTGAGATTCCCTTTTCGAGGTTCCGTTCACACGTACTCTCCATAAAATACCCAGAATAACTCAAGCGTCATCGAGCTTCCTTGTTGTTGTTGTTGGTACGCCATGGAAGCCTCCAGGTATTTGTCGAGATGAGAAAACCAATGGGCCCCCACCTAACATATTTTGTTGGAAAAGGGAGGAATCCGGGCCCTGGGCATTTTGTTGCATGTTGAGAGGATATGGATCATGGACCCACATGCTACATTGTTTGATCAACATAATTTGTGGGACATGCTAGATGCTACACTTGCTGTGTAGTAGCCCTGGTCTACAAGTTACAACTTTCGAACCTTTTCACCGGACTAAAAAGAAAAAGAAAAAAAAATTCCATCATCTTCGTTGATTTCACACACACATAACGGAATGCTGATGTTCTGGGGTGTTTCACTGATGGCGATGGCGATGGCGATTTTGTTGGATAGTCAAGTTTTCCTAGTGGGTGGGTCTATGATCCAACATTTTGTTTCGAAGCTTCGAGTAGGGCTGGGCTATCGATCATTATTTGGACGTGGGTGGATGAGGGAGGATCCGCGTCCACCGAAACATGGAAAAAGACAAAAAGAGGCATTTGGGAATTCATTCGTGCAAAGTAAACACAACTGAAAAAGATAACGCGCAGTCGCGCACTTAAACAAAATGGCGTAGGCCGATGATTCTCATTCATTTTTTGACCTTGGTGGTTTGGAATTGGAAATAACACCGCCTGCGAGGCTGCGAGCTGCGAGCTGCGAGTGCACCGCCCACAAAATAAACCAGATATATGCATGCATTAATTATTATAAATAGAGAGTGCAGAGAGCCTGACCAACACTCAAACCCAGAGAGCCAAGACAGAGCTAACAGCAAAGCTCTTGTCTTCTGTGACTTTCTGTCTACTTGTTTTGTTTTCAATAGGAATAGTGTGTCATCGTAGCTAGCTATTGTTCTCAGAAGTCCATGCCAATGGCATCTGTCTCTTCCTCCAGCTCCATAAGCTTGTGGTCCTTGTGTATGTTGCTGGTGATCTCAGGGACGGCGTCTGCTCAGCTATCCTCTACTTACTACTCCACCTCATGCCCCGAAGCCCTATCCACCATCAAATCTGCGGTGACCTCTGCTGTAGCTAAAGAGCGTCGCATGGGCGCCTCCTTGCTCCGTCTCCATTTCCACGATTGCTTCGTCAATGCAAGTCCCTTGCTTGTTACTAATCCTTCCTTTAATTTCGTTAATTTTCCAACTCTGTGTGTGTTGGTGTCTGCAGGCTCAATTTAGTTTAATTAGACCTTATATATATATATATATATATATAACCTTGGTGAATACAAATAGCTAAATAGCTGAGAATTACTTGTTCACTCTACATCCGCTGGTTCATAAGAATGCACCTACAGAAGTACAGATTGCCGCGTGAAAGTTCATTCATTCAATGAATCACATATATAATAGGTAGAGAGCCAGCAAATCCCGATACACTGGAGTTAACCCATGCACGTACTTTCTTTGCAATGCTACAACTACAGCTACAGATAACTGCAGTCTTGGGCAGTTTTCCCATAGTTTAGGATTGGTTGTGGCATATAGATGATGGACCAAATTGCCTCATTCATTGCTTAAGCATTAGTTCCTTGTAGGCCATTTCCTTGCACCTTTATTCTACTTTTCCAATGTGAGATTTTCTTCGATTACTCTCATACGTGAATCCCAGTACAGAAATAAAACACTCGGGATTTTCTATGGTCCCGAGTTTGCGACACGGCAGTTAGAAAATTCTTCCGAGTTTGCGACACGAGCTCATACGTATACTCATATCGGGTTCGCGTTATACTTCTTTGTGACATATGCCATGTGTCAACACGAACCAGCTATTTCTTGTAACCGGCTACTGATGCTTTTTTTCCCCCTAACCCGATCCATGCAACCGACCCTTTCGAGAGAGAGAGAGAGAGAGAGATAATACTTTTTAAGAACGATGATGATAACTGTGTGTATGTTTCTGGACAGGGATGCGATGGTTCTATTCTGCTGGACGATACCACGAGCTTTACAGGGGAGAAGACGGCAACACCCAACGCGAATTCATTGCGAGGGTTTGATGTTATCGACACCATTAAAAGTCAAGTAGAGAGTGTTTGCGCGGGAGTTGTTTCCTGTGCAGACATTCTCGCTGTTGCAGCTCGGGACTCCGTTGTTGCTGTAAGCCAAACCTCACCTGTCAATATCGTTAGGCTCATGAGCTCCAATTATGGTTTGTAACCCTTCTAGATAAGCTAGTTAAAGCTTAATTTTTGTTCTTGATGTTTTCAGTTGGGTGGGCCTACATGGACTGTACAGTTGGGCAGAAGAGATGCGACCACTGCAAGTCTAAGTGCTGCAAACAGCGATATCCCTGCCCCAACCTTGGATCTTAGTGGCCTTATATCTGCCTTCTCAAACAAAGGTTTCACTGCCAAAGAGATGGTCGCTCTTTCAGGTAAAACAAACATTAATTTACGAGAATGAGCTACGTACTGCCTTTTTCTTTTCTGAATTCAAGTAGTGGGTTTCTAAAGCCAATGACGATATCCCATGCATTAAAGCCGACCAAAGCTTCTCATTCTTGCTATGCTATGTTGTTCTGTGTTTCCTTGTATATATAGGAGCTCATACCATTGGGCAAGCTAGGTGCACAAGCTTCCGTGATCGTATCTACAACGAGACCAACATCAATTCTTCATTTGCGACATCGTTGAAGTCAAAGTGCCCAAGTGCAGGTGGAGACAACAACCTCTCTCCTCTTGACGCTACAAGCGCTACAACTTTTGATAATGCCTATTTCACGAATTTGGTGAACAACAAGGGCCTCTTACACTCGGATCAGCAGCTCTACAATTCTGGCTCGACGGACTCTCAAGTTAGCTCCTACAGCAGCAACTCTGCAACTTTCTTTTCGGATTTCGCAAGCGCTATGGTGAAGATGGGCAACCTTAGCCCACTTACCGGCAGTAGTGGTGAAGTAAGGACCAATTGCAGGAAAACCAACTAAGCCTAGTAGAGATCACCACTACTGTTGTGTGTTGTCGGAGTTGTACCTCCTTCATTCTTTTAAGTTTTTAGTTTCTCTTGGCTTCTTTGGAGCGCAGATTTAGCTAGCTTAATTAAGAAAGAAAATAAATTGGGTTTGGTGTATTAATATTAATGGCCGGGCAGTGGTGTTCATAAGATTGTACTGTTGTTCTTTTTAAAGTTGCTTTTACTAGCTTGGTTCTTTTGGCTACAGACTCTTTCTTGATATGTTACTGAACTGAACTGAATCGTGATGAGATTTACACGGAGAAATTTCATATCCATCCTTCTCCGTTTGGGAGAGCCACTCTTCAGCCTAGCTTTCCGGCCGAGATGCCGACAGCACCTGTATATGAGTCCTGACATTTGGCTAACTCGGTTGATGGGTAAGGGGGACGGGCTACCTCCAGTTGTGTTGTGCCCATGCGAAGCCAAAAACAAATAAAAAAAAAAAGAAAAAAAAAACAAAGCCTTGTTTGGTTTGGACCAGGTTTAGGGGTTTAATTTGGGACTGGTCCAATAATCTGATATTTAAGTCCGAATTTGCCAAAAGAAATCAAGCCCAAGGCCCCAAGCTAAATCCAATTCAATTCGGACTGGGCTCAGGCTATTTTGGTTGGATTTGAGTTGGTGTAATAGAATAAAATAAAACATGCAAATATCATTGAGAAAAAGAAATGTATAGACATGGAGTGGATAATATGTCTATTGTGCATGAGTGTTGGCCTAAGTCAATTGTATAAATTTAACGAAAGATACTATTAAATTTATGTAAACAAATGTATGTCTACACACACATTGTTAAAGGTTCATTGGGCTCGGGTTAGGTGGTCCATGCATTTAAGTTCGGGCTAAAACTACCCAATGTCTGAACCCATGTTAAGATCAAGCCCCAAGTTTTTAGGACCTGGCCTATATTAAAGCCCAAATATCAATGGTTCCAATGACTTTCTAGTAATAACCTACAGCAGTCACTCAGCAACGTTCCACTCCGATTTTGTGAATGCAACGGTGAAGATAGGGAGTTTTAGCTAGCTCTCTACCCGAAGGTGCCAACTAGCCTTCTGGTGAAGTCTCTCTGAGTGTAGCAGAGACCTGGGAATCTGGGATCGAGTTCCACTTTCACCCGGGTTTGGGGTTGGGCTACCCTACCCCATTTACCCCCCCATCCCAAAATAAAAATAAAAAAAAAAAAACAAAAGAAAGAAAGAAAGAAAGGGAGAAAGACAAAGCTCTCTAGCCGGATCAGGAAGTAAGCAATTTTGCTGGACTACTGTATTTTTCTGGATCAAGAATGGCCACTCCTGAAATTAACAAAGAAGAAAAGTAGAGTAAACCAACACGCCCAGCCTGGTTAGGGGCTTTTGGACCGAGAATGGGAGCCTGCGGATCTTGCACAACTGCACCATTGAAATTACTAGGTCTCATATACAAGTATTTTTGGTCCATGGATACTTACAGCAGAAACAGAATCACGATCTACCACATAGCGTGCCTCACACCAACCTCACAGCGCTTTTAGCTGTGCATGGAGAACATGAGAAGTAAATCCGGATTCTCCTTGATCATCTATTTACCTTGAAGCCTCTAATGGAATTTCTGTTGGCACTTACCGTCTTCTCCCCAGTAAAGTCAGGGGTATTGTCTAAAAGAACTGAACCATCACAGCCCTGAGAGTCTAACCACGACCAATTGAGAAGCAAATGTCTGTCATGATAGAGCTTTCACCTTCAATCTCTCAAGAGGAAGCTTCAACTACAGCAACATGTTTTTGTGCAAGTAAAATAAACATAAGACATTCATGATTCATAAGATGCTTGAGACCTTCTGGGTGGGCTTGATAGCGAGTTAGAAGCCAAGGATTTCAATGATCTGTTGGGCTCTGAGCTTATAGGCCCAAGAAAGTACCTGCACATGGATGAAATTTGTAAAGCTGGTCTCAGTCATGGCTAGCTTAATATCGACCTGGTAAACTTCAACTACTGAATGGCTCTGGGATTAAAGTTATACTAATCTAATGGGCTTGGTCTGAAATATATTATTAGCAAAACCCCTTCAATTCTGGTACAGTGGAAAAGGGATAGGCTAATTATAGCTTCATCTATACCCGGCCCATCGACTGCCCCAATCATTGTATAGATGAAGGTGGACTTTTTCCCTCAATATCTGAGTAAGAATTCACTAAACTTACGTTGACAAGGTAGCCATGGAAGTGCAGACGAAGCAATTAATGATGCTCTAAAGCTTGGCTTATTTTCAACAGCCTGCTCAACAATCTTCATTGATGGTCTGCAAGTCCTCATGAGAAGTCGGGAGCCGCAGGGCTGAACATGAGGGGATCACAACAGTAACAAGGTCGGCCATGGTTCCATGGATGTTAGCGGTGGTTCATGATGGAGATGATGATAAGAAAAAGAGAGCGAGAGAGAAAGGGACGACTGATCTTCAGGGG